AGCAGATGAGAATAAATAACCAAAATTGCTTCTACACAAGTACACACAAAAATCTTGATATGCATAAAAGGTACCAAACTGAGAGATATATTCTATTAAAGCATAGGTTCAAATGCGGTGACGACACTCTAACGAGATCGGGATGGGACGTCATTCACCAAAAGAGTCGTTCGGACATTAAGATTCTCTCAAAGCACATCTATAAAGAAAATCTTGAAATATTTTTTGAAAATACATAAAAACTTGTAATTTTCAATTAAATATATTAATTAGGCATACATATATCAGACATCTTGACCTGTCACTTTCTCACCGACGTGACGTGGCTTCACTCTTTTTCTACGAATATTTTCATGGGAGATCCTCTGACAAGCTTTTGGTGTCCCAAATACATGAATTTAAGCTTGCTACAAGTTTGGCAACTAGTTCTCACGGATTTACTGTTGAAATAACTAAATGCAACCACCATTGCAACAATTTCTTTTCTCGCACTTCCCATCTATGGAACTCCCTTCCGTTTCTTTGCTTCCCTGATAACTACGTTATTCAAACATTTAAATGCAACCTCAATTGCCATCCTCTGTCTTCTTGAACTCTGTTCATTTTTTGTCCTTCCCGCGATCCTCCCTATTCCCAATTCTCTCTAAATTCAGATCTAAATAAAATATATCTGTAAAAAGACAATAGGAATAAAGACAAAAGAAAAACTTATCTCTACCGACGCGTTTCGTCCTCTGATGGACTTTATCAAGGCAAATGACAATTTCGTTAAAGAAAAGTTTTCCTTTTGTCTTTATTCATATATATATATACATATATATATATATATATATATATAGGTACTTCCATAAAAAGTGATACCTGGAGTTTAAAATGCATTTTAAAAATTAAAAATGTTTCTGAAAGCTTTTATTTTAATTTTAATTCCAAGTTAATAGATTACATTTAATATTTCCAATTAAGAAGCAAAATACTTTAAATTGATTGGAATTTATTTTTTTCTGATTATAAATAAAATCGATGAAATCGTCCAATTTGCCTATTCCGTCAATACAACATAATTCTTTTTATTAAAATATGTTTCTAAAATAAAATATACTTTCCTCAAACGTTATTTCAGAAAGAATAACTCATTTAATGCTTAATTAATCTGAATTGAAACAACTAGTATTTACTTTTACTTTAAAATAGCACAGAAAAGCATTTTTTGCACTGAGATAGGTGTTTTATCAGGTTTTAAGACATTTATCGGCAGCCTGGTGTTTGCGAAATTAAGTAAGAGGAGTTAATTGTATATTACATTATGAATACAACGTGTATGCCTTTCTATATAATTTTCAAACTACACAGTAATCTATAAAATTTAAGAAAATATTTTAGGCATTCTAATATTTTATTGAATTTTAGGCACTTTGGCTAGATAGTCTTACTTACGAAGACGCTTATCGATGAAATGTTAGAAAATTACCAATAAATTTTAAATTTACTAGTGATAGTGCGCTTATTTTCTGATAATGTCGTGTATGGACGTCCGTATTTACAAAAGTCGGCGCGTTTATACACGCACAAAAAAATTCGAAATTCTTTTTAAAATACTGGAAGTTGCTGAATTGCAGTAAACCTTTCCATTTATGCTTAGTAAATACAGTTTTTATTTAATAATAATATCACTTACTGGTACAAATTAATACAAAATTTTATAAATTATCTTAATTATTTTTAAATGAAAATGATTCTTGTAAAACTTCATTATTCCTTTAAAAAATTTTTTACTCCCTTAGTAGTGTCATAATATATTTTATTCATAAACGGAATTAAAAACTTTTCTAAATTAATGATGTCTTATTTTTATTGCATTTTTATTTCACGATTCAGAGCAGATTTTCTGTACCTGAGGGTCCTGTTAGACCAAAAACATTTTGGTTTAAATTCTTCGAGAACTTGTCCTTATAAGTAATATAAACATGAAATTCTCGAAACTTCATAAAATTAGATAAGTGGGGAAGTAACAAATGTAACAACAGTATTTCTACCAAGATCTTCTAAAAATTAAACATTTCAAAAACAATTTCATTCATTTGCGAATAAGTCCTGAAACTTTCATTAAAATTCGACAATTATCTGATTTTTGCAAGAATTTCCAAGCTAAGGTGTTTTTCATCGCAAAAAAGAAATTTGATTTCCCGTGCTAATTTATAGTCCTACGCTAACGCCAGAAAGACAAAAATTTTAGCCAAAATTTCGAAAGTTCTAAAGAGAATTCAAAAAATAATCTGGGGTTCTAACCAACAATTATAGAGATTTTGAATTTTCTCAAGCAGTCTTTTTTTTTTTTACTGAAGTTTTCTTACAATATATTTCATCATCAACTTAATTCTGAATTACTTGTACAGTCGATCCTTTTGCCATTATATTTTACTATTCTACTTTACAGTCTACGAAATGAGCATGCTAACTATTGCTCCTCGGTGAGACGTCTTATTTATTAGCTTAATCTAACACGGAAGTAAAGTACATATATAAATAAGAAGTGTCTGATTTCGGTGTGGTGTAATAGTTAACAAGCTTGTCTCTTTAGATCAATTACGACTGAGTAGTGAATTCGATACTCACTTGGTACTCAATCCATGCAGTATTGTGCCATATCTAAGCTACGCTTAGTAAATCAGTGTAACTTCTAAGTAGCTGGGACAGTGAATTGTAGCCAGAGATATTAAATTAAGTACTTACAAAATGACCGAGTGGTTTGCAAGTGAATAATTATATTATGAGATCTGTATTCGCGCTCAGCTACAGAATTTAAATAAATAAAAACAAAGCTATATTTGAAAAGCAATAACTAATAAATGCTGATTGCAGAATTTCATCTTTTTTGTCCATCTAAGTTGTAGACGATTACGTTTCTCCATAGTTTCATTTTCTTTATTATCTGTGAATTGCTATGACTTCTTGAAAAAGATAGTGGAGTGGTTTCCTGCTGCTTTCTTCGCTGTTTTCAGTTCAGAGTACTTCTTACGAGAAGAACGAGAAGACACATAGGAGAAAGAAATTTCGCTTACAATTTGCTTAAATTTTGTATACATAGGTCTAATAAATAGAAAAGAAAGTAACTAAACTAGTAGAATTAGTAGAATTCTTGAAAACAGTATAAATTAATGTAGCTAGAAGTAACTTATAAGTTCTATTTTAATAGTTTCTACACTCGCACTTCTTGCTTGTGGAACTCCTTTCCGGTTTCTTGCTTTCTTGTCAAATACGATCTTCAAAAATTTAATTGCAATGTCAATCGTCGTCATCTGTAAAGCGGTGAAAACTAGTTCCCAATTTAGTAGTCCGCTTAAATTCAATCGGTCGTGGTTCCAAGGAGGAACGATTGCTATGAAAATATTTATAGAAAAGACAGAGGGGAGCTACGTCACGACGGTGGGAAAGTGACTGAAGTCGAGGTGCCAGGTCAGGATCGATTATATTGCAGACTCTTCTTTGGGTGTTGTCGAGAAACTAGAGATATATAGCTTAAGCACCCGACAAGATATGACAGCAATATTCAATGCAAAAACGAGTGGAAAAAATATCCCCCTCTTTACACATAATACATAAAAGAATGTTTCCTCTCTAATAGTGATAGCGTAAACTAGATAGAAAAAAAAATGGGTAAAATGAAAATATGTTCTTTTTTATACGTACGTGTGTACAAAATTATATTAAAGATGTTGAGAGACTTAAATTTAAGTTAATTTTTATATGTTGGTTTGGCAGTGTTATCTGATTGTTCTGTGTATAGTCAAGTAAGCTTAGGGGGTTCTGTATTGAGTTCTGTTCAACAGTTTGTAAGCTTAGGGGATGCTGTATTGAGTTCTGTTCAACATGTAGATGGCTGGAGACCAAATGTCCACCAGAGGGAAACCAGACACCCCCCTATCTCTAAGGCATCCTATGGCTAAAAGAGGGAACAAAAACATGGAATTTTGCGCCCCGTCTAGCAGTTAGTAGGAGTTCTTTGGCAGACAAGTGGGATAATCCCACAGGTTCAATGATAATCATTCTCCCATCATAATTTTATTTCAAATAATAACCGAACCGGTTGCAATGTGGGGTGTAATTGAAGACAAAACTATTTACTAATCGTGACGTTACTATTGTAATGTATCCACTGAGAATCGAACCCAGTATACAAGCGTACCACTAATTTACTGACTACGGATGGTACGGTACCTCTTTTAATCATTTAATTCGCTTGTTCCCAGACGTCATGAGTTCCAGCGCCTTACGAGGCTGGCATCCCGCTCTCACCCTTTCACTGTCGAAACTCCTAAATGTAGCCGTCTCTTCTACTCTAATAGCTTCATGTCTCGCACCTCTCGCCTATGGAACTCCTTTCCCTATTCCTGTTTCCCTGTGAACTATAATCTCCAGCTATTCAAGTGTAATGTCAATCGACATCTCCAGTTGCCTTAATCTATCCACTACCCTCATCCTTTCTTCTATCACTCCTATCTGATCTTGCTCTGAACTTTCTGTAACCCCTTGCGTCCTAGTGGCTTCCCGCCTTGCTCGGGGCGTAATGCTTAAAAAAAAAAAAAAAACTTTCTCTAAAGCCTTGTCTTTCTGTACATGGCGTCCCAGAATCTTTCTGAAGAATCACATTTCTGTTGCATCAAGTCTCTTCATCTTTGAGGAGATTGTCCAGCATCCAACTTAATCCAAATTCAATCAACTTAATCCAACTATATTCTTTTTTTAAAAAAAGTGTAATCTACGAGACCCGCTTGTTGGCGAGTGTTTCATGCCAAGATGTCATTTAAGTAAGCTTTACTGTGTTTGGCACAAGGCCGTAATAATAGGTGAGTTAGTAAGTATCGAACTCACTACTAAAGTAATAATTTGATAGACTGAATTCACGATTAGGTGCAAATTAAAAATCATTTTTATTCGTTTGATTCCTCTTTCCTTTCTTGCAGAAAGATCAAATTATGTTATCCCAACATGACGGATGGTTTATGGATACTGAATTCCTCCCACAAAAGGAATCGATCTTCAAAACGAAAACTTTCCCGAAACCAGTCGTTTGGAAAAGACCCCAGGTATAAAGCGACGACGGTCTCATTATATAAATACATTTTTTATTTTATCTTGTACACTATATTTATGCATTACTTTTACATCTTAAAATGCTATATCTATTAATACATTTTAATATTGAATTTCAGTTCCATATGTGTTAACACTTTTTAATATTGAATTTAAATTCTATATCTCTTAATATATTTTAATATTGAATTTCAGTTCTGTTATATCTGTTCATATATTTTATTATTTGCTTTCAATGTTCCTTTATTTGATTTTAATTTTTGTTATTAATTTCTGGGATAGGCGGTTATCATTATTTACATTATTTACAGTCGGACTAATGTCCTTATCTTTGTTGTTATGATGAAAACGTTTAGGCCGTGTACCCTTCTGTCTTCTTTGGATATCTGTCAATCTGAAGGCTACTCAGATCGACAGACACTTGAAGAATGCCCGAGAGAACAGCGACCGAAACGTTGTGATCGTATCAACAAAGATGGGGACATTAGTCCGACCAAAGGTGAAATGTGAATAATATATATATATATATATATATATAAAAGTGAACATAGAAGTCAACACTTAGAGGCGACAGTCTGTTTCATGTTATATGCAATCGTCAGGCCACGATTGCATATAACATGAAACAGACTGTCTATGTTCCCTTTTATATTTACACACGCTCTATCTCTGATATCGAGCACTTTATCCCATAAATATAGCACACCTTAAGACTATATTTCTTCATATATATATATATATATATATATATATATATATATTTATTGTATTATGAACAAATAATTTTTCCTCATCAAATCTCAAATTTAATATTTTTCTTGGTTCTATAGTAATAAGGATTTATGCTCAAACAATGGTTCTTGCAACATTAAATTACCGTTAGTAATTCTCAATATTTCTTGTGATATTAGCATTTCCCAACGTCTGGCAGACGGCGTCCGTGCTGTAAATACGAAGTAAAGGATCTACAGATGCGCTCGTGGTCACCAAAGTATTGTCACTAGGCCAGGGGCCGTGTATTTGACAAAAATGAAACGTGTTGAAAAAAATAAACAAAAATTGGAATAAAACAAATAGAAATATTTATTTAATCGGGAACATCTTTTGTATAGAAAAAATTTCAATGAGTTTATAAATAGGCTCTATAAATAATGACGGAAAAGTTTAACTGCTGGTGAATCAGCGAGTGAGCGAGGTGCACTGTTCACGCCATATGCGTCTATTGCAAGGACTGCTAACTTTAGCGTCCTGTCGCGACCTCGGACTGAAATGAAAGAAAACCAACCCTTCCGATCTGCAGGATGCATGCTGCGAGTTTTTTTTTTTTTTTTTTTGCCCAAAAGCTGAAAAAGTGTTACTTCGGCTAATAGGATTTTTCACGCATTCGTGTGGTAGAACGGTTTAATGTCTGCTACAGAGCCATATCTGTAGTAATATAATATTACATAATCCAGTTAATAGAAACTTGTCAATATTGTTTATTTGTGCTATTTAAAAAATTTCTTGGTGGTACTAAAAAAATAAGTTAGGTACGAAAGAGCGTTTCGGTCGCTGTTCTCTCGGGCATTCTTCAAGTGTCTGTCGATCTGAGTAGCCTTCAGATTGACAGATATCCAAAGAAGACAGAAGGGTACAACGGCCTAAACGTTTTCATCATAACAACAAAGATAAGGACATTAGTCCGACTGTAAAAAAAAAAAAAAAAAGTCTTCTTATGCAACCAGCGTTTCGTTTTATCAAAGAGAATCGTTGGTAAATATATTAAACACTAAAACGAAATTAACAATAAAAAAAACGAAGTAAAACGTTTTAAAAGCAATCATTATGTTTCAACTTGTTATAAAAAATGAAACTAAACGACAAAGAAAAATAAAAGGCAAACTTCTATATAATGAATGGGAATGTCAGAGTGTCACTGTGTTATACTTTTTCAACTTTACTCCTAAAGGCCGTAACCCAACCATACCATTTTGGAATCAAGCCGACTCAGTGAGCAAATTAAAATCATTCCGGACCAATCTGGACCCGCAATCCTGAAATTTTGGATCCCCAAGTTTTCATTACTGCGATTGTTTTCAGCGATTTATTTTACGTGAATTTTTATGACGAAATTTTTTCTTTTTTTTTTTTTTTTTTTTTTTTTTTACAATAACAATTTTTATAACTTGTAAATAAATTTGGGAATAATCGAAATTAATTGCGAATGTCACCCTTGAAATAAAAATAATTATTCGTACGGATAAGGACCTGCGTACATCAAACTGTGGCGGCAAAAGAATTAACGTTGAACTTTTAAAAGGTAAGCTTAAATATTAATGCAATACTTAAATGCAGTGATGAATTTTGAGTTCTTCTGTAGTATATTGTTGCCTATATAACATCTACTCTTCCCTTCCTATTGTGATCAATGTCCAATCCAAAACCCTCCGCAGCAGCTAGCTTAAATGCCGCCCGATAGGACAGATTTTAATCTAGTAAGTAATAATTGGTAGTTTAAACGAATGCAAAAAATATTTTGCTTCCAGAAAGACGGTTCTTCAGTGTTCTTCTCTGTCTTGTATTATCCTTCATTCTGTTGTGACCGGTGACCATGACTTCACTTTTAGGGGTCAACATTGTATTTTTCAAATGACTTTCATAATAAGTGAGACAGAGAACGGATTCAAAACATATATGTATTACAAGACAACATTCGCCCGGCAATACCTTAGCTTCAATCCCACCAATCATACAGCGTGAAGAAATGTGTAAAAATCATAAGTAGCGATCCATACATACCAATAGGAGATAATTCAAATCAAACGTAACTTTCAGAATAGCTACCTTGCAATCTTAATTTCTCCACGCAGAAACAGAAGGGTTGAGGTGAAAGATCAACTACCACGGTTTGTCTCCCTTGCGACAAGGGCATGAAGGAAAAGGTTTCAAAAGATCTGCGGTCGATACAACATCAGGATAATATTCAAGAGCAGCTCAGCCTTAAGGAGAAATTCCTGCCGAGCCAAGCTTAATATAGAGGAGAAAGTGACCAAGAACTATAAGTATTCTATCCCTTACAGCTGTAGCAATGAATACAAAGGTGAAACCAGGCTGAAAGATCGAAGAGCAGTAATTAGGAGGGAAACAATGTAATCAGGTATGGCTGATCATGTAGGGTGGAAAAAATGTGGTCATCAGCTCCTGTGGAATTAAGTAAAAAGAGAGACGGTCGGTGTCTGAGAATAAAAATAAATTCATCTTCAGATGAAATACTTAGAATTTTACAGCAGTCGTTTGAAAAGGTGTCAGCACAAATATGATTATCAATGAGACACTGGCTTTTCGCTGAATCGGAAATCTTCTGGGTGTGGGTCAATATTTCTTTTTTTTTTTCTTTTTCAAAAGTAATTCTTCATCGTGTATGTTTATGCTATTATCAAATATTATTATATATTGGCGAAATAAAACTCTTCACACGAGCATACACAAACAAACACACACACGCACGCACCTACGCACACAAACGAACGAACACACGTACACACACGCACAGACGCGCACGCACACACGAACGAACACACGCACGAATGAACACATACGCGCACGCGCGCACGCACATACGAACGAACGCGCACACACACACGAACGAACGCATGCACGCCCTCCTCCCTCATACACACAAACATGAACGAACCCCCCCCCCATCCCTACACACACAATAATAACATTTCACCACCGGCATGTTGAATATTGAATTCTGGCTGTAATTCTGAGAACGTGATAAAATGCTTCAGAAACTTGAATGAATTAATGTATAAGAAAGCTTAACTTTCTCTGGAACAAGGTCATAAATTTAAGGCGTCCAAAAAGAATCAAACTCACTACAATAATTAGGATCAACGATATTTGCTTGTTAATTATTGTTCCAGGATAGCTTAGCCTTTATCTGCTAAGCAAATCTTAGTCTGACACAAGGCTATAATTACCAAATAAGGACAGACCTCACTACAGAATTAATTATCAAAAACACTAATTCGATAATAATTGCTCTATCATTTATTATGTTTAGCTTCAGCTGGCATATTTCCACTGTAATATGATTATCGACCTCACCACTGCAGTTATTTAACAATGGATAACTAAGGAAGCCAGTGTAAGGCACTCGGTTAGGATCGAAGTCACTACACTAGTAATTGCGTGAATTGCTCACAGGAAATTACTTCACAGCAAAATCCTACATTTATTTACAAAGGTTAGCACGAGACAATAAGTTGGGAATATTTTTGACGTTTCAATCGAATCCTTTCTAGGCAGACCGAGAGAAACCTACCAGGAAAGGCTTAAATTTCTATTATTTTTATTACAGGAATGCACTTTTGCTCTTTCACTGAAAATATGCAAAAAAAAAAAAAAAAAATGGTCCAAACTCATTTTATTTTCAGGACCTAAGTGAGCGCCCGAGGTTGATATCCCATGGAACGAGTCGGCATGACATGAAACAAGGTCAACTTAACGATTGTTGGTTTCTTTCTACGCTGTCCGCCATTGCGGAAAAATCTCAGCTTATGAACAAAGTAAGACAATTTTTTTAATATTAATATTAAGAACAAGGTAAATTTATTTGGCTTTCAAATCAGTTTAAAGAATAGTTCCACTTCATTTAGAATACAATTTGTTAACCATTGTAGAATCTCAACAATCAAGAAAAGAGGCTATAATTAATAAGGCTTTGCATTGTTTTTTCAACCAATCTGAAGAAAAGAAAGTTTTAACGTGTTTTTGGAAAGAGAGGAGAAATATCTTGATTTTTCTTTCCACTCTCCAAGACTCAAAGTAGGCATTAGACGGTGATATACTAACACCTTAACACGACAGAAAGAAAAGCTAGAATAACCCAAAGAAATTAATTCCAAAAGTGAGTTGCACTAGAATATACAAATATGTCATACAATATATATATATATATATATATATATATATATATATACAGTGTAACCCGGATATAAGAGACCCGGATATAAGAGAAACCCGGATATAAGAGAAACCCGGATATAAGAGAGGTTTTCTGGTCCCAAATTAGTGCCTGTGTTAATGTATATATATTAATTAAACCCGGATATAAGAGACTTCTTCTCCGGTCTCGACAACTCTCTTATATCCGGGTTACACTGTATATTTACAATCACGCACACACAAAAATGTATATATATATATATATATATATATATATATATATATATATATATATATATATATATGTATTAAAATATATATTTAAAAAGAAAATAATTATTTAAACAAGGAATAAGTTAAAAGTGGAATACACCTATGTTTGGCAAACTTAAGAAAAAACCAGAACATTCGCCAAAACGAATTACTCCAAAAGTCCTGTCTGTGATACCGGAAATGACATTGTTACATTATCTTTGACACTCAGAGATGAAAGAGAAGAAAAAGAAGGAAAAGGAATAGGGGGAGTGTATGAGGGATAAGAAAATGACGAAAAGGAAAAACATTCACAACATTCGACACATACACACGCGCGTACACACACAAGCACACGTGTACACGCATATAGACACACGCACACAACTACCCTAACATCATTAAATAGCGCTTAAATTATATTTTTTAGCTTTTAAAAAATCTCCTGACGAATGGACTTACATCGCTTGATCTCGTTTTCTGCTAGTTTTAGAGTTGTTTTTCTATTTTTAGTATTTTAATATAGCGTAGATTACTGTAGAAATTCCAATTCTCAGTTGTAACAACCGTTCCGAAGTAAAATTGCTCTATGGACTACTAAAATACTACCGTGGATCCCTAATTTGCTATTCCTGTTTGTGTTGACCACCAGTAATGTTACATGGCTCCCACCCATCCCCACTCTAAGGTTCATATGGACCCTGGTTGAGAATCATTCGTTTAAAATAACTGCCCTGTAAATCTCTTGAATATCTCGAAGACTGATATTCCCAAGCTTCCTGGTTTTAGTAAAGAATACAGTAATTCATTATCGAATCTCCATTTTGCTTGGCAGAGCTAATCAATAAGAATATTTATTTTATTATTCTTCCAATATTCGACCCAGATCTCACGAGATGCGTTTGTCCTGAATATCTTACATAATCAATGTCAGTGTCATCTTTGGAATATGAGATAAATTTTGATCCATTGATCTCCGGTCTCAGATGTTCCTAGATAGAAAATCGTGCGTCAAGATGACTTCTCCGACCAATCAAATTGAGCGATGAAAATTTTAGTCAATAAAAATTCTAATAAAATGAAGACACACAACACACAAAAACACGCATTTATCGAAATCTTTTACGCTTCAACTTCAGTTTATCAGAAAATTGCTTAAGCAGGCAAATTTATTTGGCTTTCTAATCAATTTAAAGGAGACAAATACGATTTTACATAGAAGTGTATTTACTTGCCAAACGGACTTATATCTTTATCAATTTTAGACAGATCCACAGTTCTGCCATTTGCGTTTGATAATCATTAACTAATACTATTATTAACTATTATAAAACGCGAACGTAAAAACGGAATTTACTGGTAGATAATCTACCTTCATTGAACGGAGATTCAATGAAACGTATGTAATGCTAGAGATATTAAAAAAAACACAGTGATCACAGCTTCTGACACGTTGATCTATTTTGATGTGGATTTTAATGTCGATTGCCACCTCAGCATATGACATTTTCTAATGGATAACTCCTTTGTTTTATCAGATTCTTCCGTCGCACAACTACACATTCGGAACTGCAGAATACACTGGCATCATCCACTGTCGTTTCTGGCAGTTCGGATCCTGGGTTGACGTTCTTATTGACGATCTACTGCCTTCTGTCGACGGGGATATCTTGTTTGCCCACTCATCCGACCCGAACGAATTCTGGGTGTCGCTAGTTGAGAAGGCTTATGCAAAGTAAGTTTTACTAACACTCCTGGTGACTTGTTTACTGTTCTTTTGTTGAAGGATCCGACTTTTATATTTTATTGTGTGTACGTCCATGCGGCCGTCTGCGCGGATGTGCATTCGCGAGCGTGCACCCATGCGCCCGTCTGTGCGGATGTGCGTATGTGTAGGGTTTCGTGATTATTTGTCCTTTTCTTCTTTTTTTTCCACGTTACACTGTGTGTGTATGTGTGTGTGCGTATGTGTGTATGGGAAAATGGTGTATAATTTTTTATGAGAATAATTTTTGGTAAAACTGTGAAGTGAAAAGTTTTTGCGTGCGACTTGCTTCGTCCTTTAGGACATCATCGGACTAAAATGATGTTTACGTTGATGCGGCTACACATACGCATGAAGAAGAGGGGGCACTAAGAATTTTGAATTATTTTTTTAATATATATTTTGTGTATATAGTCTAGCCGACTTCAGTTAGTTTCTTTTTGTTTACGTTTTTATCACTTTTGTTATTAAATATCCCACACTGTAACAATATTGACTGATTCGTTTACTACAGGTTATTAACCATTTTCAGGTTATTTAAAGCCAGGAAATATTTTAGATTGTGAGAATTTTTTTATATAATAATGCTTTAGTTATACAAGCCTTACTAATGAGCTTATAGCTGGGGGAAGAAGAGGTGGATTCATCCCTTTCCCAAGAGTATTTGCGCGTAAATGAATATAACGAACCCAACTGGAATTGGAACACTACTCTCCGATTAACAATCTCGAGCCATCAATCATTACACCACCCGCACATCCAAGATTACAGCACCTGGTATTTCCAAGCGATTACCCATCTAGGTACTAATCAGGCTCAACATTGGTACATTGTGATGATAGAATATCTGCCAAAAAAGATGAAATGTAAGAACCTGGACTTAGATTTACTGTGGATGATCATTTTTCGCCTTAGTGAATTGCTTTCTTTTGTTAAATAGAGTGGCATTACTTCAGTCAAAATTATGGTCAGGCTCATTACGCCAAATAACTAATGCATTTAATGTGTTGTTTTGTAAAAGATCCCTTTTGTGTTCATATAATCTTTTATTTAAATATTTGTGATATTAAATGACGTGGGATAGCTTAGCTATAACAATATACTAGCAGAAATATCAACTTCGTATATATGACTCAGGGGATAATTTTAGGAGACATTAAATGTAAAAGTTATCTCATATACTAATTTTATAACACAGTTTGAAAAACTCTCTACAACGTCATCAGAAAAATATTATTTCATAAAAACAAAATTTACGTTTTTTTTACGATACAAAATGTGATTCACGTTAAGCATCTGAGCAGTTCATTTTTATTTCAGTTGTGTCGTTATGGAAATTACATTCTAACTAATTTTAACTCATGTGATATAGTCTAGATATCATATGTGATAAAGCATGTGACTCGAAATGGTGTTTGGCGGCAGTAGCAGTTGTCTCGCTACGTTAGTTTCTATGGCTGCCAATACACTACATTCGCATTGTCTGTCTCATACCGAGAATCAAATCTGTTGTCTTTTCACCAGTAGAAATGTTTTTTGGTAGTATTAAATAGCACAACACATGTAGTCTGTATTGATTATTTTTATTCTCCCTAGTAGGGGAATTTTGATGACAACTTGTGACGGAGAGGGAGAAGTGAGTGAGAGACTTCCCAATACTAACAGTTGTAAACCTACGTGTTTCTATCGAGGGGAAAATTTCCACTGAAATTTTTTGAAGGGAAAAAATCCTTTTTTTTACGAGAAAAACTCACTAATTGCTGATTCGTCAATTCATGGGCCATTCATTGCTCTTTTTCCTTTCGGGATTTGTTTTCCTTTTCAGAATATGTGACCGTCAACTGACCCTGTCAAATAGATCGTATTTCAAAAATACAATATATTTCCAACAACCTGTGTGGCAGTGTTTTAGTTGGAAGATTTTTTTTCTCTTCATAATCCTTAAAATTAACTTATTCTACATTATTTCACACGCAGACAATGTTAGACTTGGTTTTTATTTTTGTTTATTTCTTTTCAAAGTTTACGTATCACACTTTGTTTCAGCGCTAATTTAGTAAGAACAGGTGATAAACTGAAATAATTCGGCTGTATATTAATCGTAGAGGATTCATAAATCATATCAAATTCAATGCATCTTCGTCTGAGTAAATTATATTTTTATTAAAACGGCATTTTCCATATCCATCTACGGATTAAATAATAGGACATAAATCTGAAAAAAATCATTAGTATCTTGAAAAAAAATCCTGAATGCAATATTCACTCACAAAAAAAAACTATTCTTCAATCCCCAAAATATATATTTTTCAACTTTAAATAACTCACAAAGGGTTGATAAGTTATAAGAAAATAGCGCATTGTTGTCATATCTAGGTTGAAGCTGCTCATATCCACTTTCCAAAACTGATAAAGTTCAAAACTGTTTAAGTGGTCTTGTAGGAGAAGAATTATTTTCCATTCTACAACCCCTTTCCCCACAGACGCAATGTAGCAAGCCTATCGCTACTCTATTTCTATTTTCATGGAAAATGTTCAAATGAGCTAGATTCTTTAGTTCTACCAGCTCAGAACTTTACTAACAGGACACGCATGCTAATTCTAAGGAAATGTAAAAGAAAGTACCACTCAGCTTTCCCCCAAGAACCGCTACTTTGTGGAACAGACATGGGTGGTTCCAAATCTTCCCCTATAGCAACAACCTTCTACCTGGAGTAGAATTGAGTGAATTTTAGTATTGCAAAAGGCGACAAGATTCATTTGTGCTCAATTACTGTCAGCTGTTCAGTACCAACTCAGTCACACTCCAAGTTCTTTTTTCTTCATTTAATTCCCATGATTCTCTTGGACGAAGAAATAAAATGCAGGTTACGGTGTAACCTTCTCAGTCTCACGTTGGTCTTCAGGTTCCTTCAGATTAGTGTTGTTACCATCTAGCTGACTCCTCATTCGTTAACGCTTTGCTGGTTTGTTGCTGGTATCGTGATAATGAGCACATTTCCTCTCGACGTTCGTCTCCTACACGACCATTCACTCCTCTGCTACGCTGTGTTTTTGATTTCAGAGTGCGAGGAGATCGCTGATGAAGTAAACTAAAGTGAAGAACAGGTCGACGGTAAGGAGCTACACAAAAAAAAAAGAATTCTTTGGAATAAAGAATTTACTCGAGTTAAAAATGTAACAACGATTTAGTTTATATATAATTTATTGTATACAGAGGTCTTAACCCTTCCCACTTGACACTGGGATACCCTTTTGGAGTTTAGAGCGTGTTAATAGTAATTTAACTTTCTAAGTTCTAGTCTTCAGGGTTGAAACAAGGTCTTGTCAGGAGGTCTCGGTGGATTCCAGTAGCAGTAGTGTAGGGACTCTCTAAGTTGTCCAAACTTCTTGCTTATATGGAGTCCTGCCATGTGTGGGGGTTGACCAGGGTCCGGGATTCCGTTATCTCCCACCCTTAGCATCAACCTTTTTTTAAAATCTCATATTTTCAAAATAGTATGTTTACTCGAGTAATTTTCCAAATTTAGGGGTTGTCCATTCCCCTTTTGAGAGGAGTCAGAGGAATCAAGCCGCTCCTTAACTCATCACTTTTCATCAGGCACCATGGCTCCATATGAGCGGTACTAATCTCTCTCTCCCTTCTCTCACCTTCTCATCAGAAAAGAGTATTTCCAGTAATTAATCTTTTCTCACTCTGTTTTAGGTAATTTCCCAAAGCCAGGGACTTGATCATATTCTAAGATAATTGGAGCCAACCCAGATGGCCCTGCCAGCCAATCTCATCCCCAGTCGTCATTAGTGAGAAATAAAAATATTCCCAATATCATTAGTAATAACAAAGAAATTATATCTTTCTCTGTTAATAAGTTTCTAGGTTAGCATTAAAAAATGTTTTGATACAGAAATTAAAATTAAATGAATCTTAGGCGCTAATTTTTATTTTTTGTAGGGATATTTTTCTGGGTGGCCGACACGACCCTTCTACACAAGTCAGATGTTTTCCTGACTCTTTGTACAGAACAATTTAGATATTATTTCGGGACCACCCTTTTCTTTACTGATAAGGTATTGAAGACAAGATATATTTTTCTATTTTCCCAAGACCCGACATCTCCGATGATACGTTAATTGTCTCCTTCTTATCGTCGGGAAGTAGGGAAGGATTGGTAGTCTTGGTTTTGCTCAATCTTAATGAATTCGGTCTAGTTAAATTTCAGTTCGATTCTGCTTGGAACTTGATTTCATTTTATTATTTTAAAGCATAATTTACATTTTTAATTTTCTTCTCAACTTTTCAATCCACTTTCCTGAGAATTTCGAAAATTCTCATCCAGTTAATAGTCTCTTTCCTCATTCTTTTTGTATTTTTTTGTTTTTATTGACTCACTGAGTGCCAAAATGGAAACGTGACTGTCATACTAGACAACTATAATATATGGTTTGTTTTATTTATTTATGAATTGTAAGAGATTTTATCACGGTCATGAAAATTTTGAAAAAGGAATCTTAAGTCAATTCGACTATTAAGGAATTTATTGAAAGAGACAAAGAAATAATTCCTTTCCTTTTTCTTTTAGATTAAACAAATCGTACGAAGCTCTTGAATTTGGTTTTGAAGCAGATGCTTTTACCGACCTAACAGGAGGCTTAGCAGAATGGTACAATCCTGCTGATCTTCAAGATAAGGATTTTTATTTGATACGAGCAGCGTTTCAAAATGGAGCTATTATTGGTTGTCTTAGCATGGTAAGTTTCGTTACCCGATTTTCAATCAGTAAGCCAGTTATATATTTGGTTGGAACAAAAGCTCATAGCGTTTTTCAATAGGTGGCGATAGAACACCTAATTCCGTTTCACAGGTGACAGAAATTTATGATATATATATATATATATATATATATATATATATATATATATATATATATAAAAACATCTTATGAAAGGTGACATTTCAGTGCGTTTTTCTATATGATTTGTGCGTAGATTGTAAATTTTAAATGTTGTTTTACGTTAAATGTGAACATGGAAAAATGGCATGCAAAAAAACAGCTATGAAAGGATATATGGCCTTTATGGAGATGATGACATCGTTGTGAAATGTTGTTGTGACCCAATAGAAAAGTTGGAAATAAAATCCTGTCGCATTTGAAGATTGAGAAATAAATAATTTTTTCTTTGCTCTCAATTATGTACTTAATCAATATAATCTTCCTTCTCATTATCGATCAAATAGTCACAACTATTCTGCAAATTGTCAACACCCCAGACATAAAATCATTTAGGTTTCAATGCAAAGAAACACTTAATATCAGTTTTAACCTCTTCACAATTGATAAACTATTTTCCTCAAAAATATGTTTCAATGATCAAAAAAGATGAGAGTCATATGGAGAAAGGTCACGAAAGTAAGGAGGATGATGCAAAACTTTCTTTTTTATCATTTCTTCCCAAGTAAGGCAATAAAGCCATTAAGACGTAATGGGTTACTGAGTGTTAGAGAATATGAGAAAAACTACTCTTAAGGAGGGAGGACAATAAAAGAATGAAAATTAAGAAGACAGAAGATAACGATTGTATTTTAATTTTTGAAGATGAAAGTTGACTGGAAAGCAAGAAACCGGAATAACGTTTCACAAGCGCCAAGTCCGGTAGAAGAAACTGTTAATATAGAACTTACGGCTACATCTACCAATTCCACCTGTAAAATTTAGAGACCTTGCCACCAATCTAGTAAATCGCTTAAATTCATAAAGTCTATGTACCATAGGGGAAAGCTCACCAGAACAATTACCATGAAAATGTTGACAGAAAAGGCACAATGTAGCTACGTTACAGTGGTGGGAAAATGACTTAAGACAAGATGCCAGATCAGGACCAATAACATTGCAGATTCACACGAGCAATATGTGGTCTTGTATTATTTTGCACCTTGACAATGATAGGCGTTTTTCTGCAAATCTTTGTCCAATAGATCCAATGGATGACACTACTTATTTACATTAACTATTTTGTTTTGGTTAAGTACTTCATGATAGCCGATACTGTTCATATCTTAGCTAACCCAAAGAAGAACCTTTTTTGAAGGTACTTCTGGTTTGGGGTGGATTTGGTTTAGATGTTGCTAACAATTGTCGTATTTGTTGGATATGATTACAAAGAATCTACTTTTCACCACTGGTGATAATACTGTAGTAAGTCCCGAAAAAAACAAATAAAATAATATATATATATATATATATATATATATATATATATACAGAAATAAAAAGAATTAAAATCAAAATAAAGCATTTGCACTTTCCTTCAAAAGCTAATTCTCTCTCTCTCTCTCTCTCTCTCTCTCTCTCTCTCTCTCTCTCTAAGGGTCTCTTTCTATACATACTTCTCTCTCAAATGATGAGAAGGCAAGCCTCAAATAAAAAGAGAAAGAAAAAGAAAAGGCTGAAACGAAAATGCGAAAAATGGCGAAAATCTGCAGGATCTTAGGCTACTTATTTGTGACTGAAAAATATCGAAAATCAGGGAGGCTCCACGCATAACTTCTGTTACAAAAATAAATGAAAACTAAGGGAACGCCGGAAAATAAAATAATTTTGGCTAATCAATAAAAATAACACAATGAAAATTTGATGTTAGCCGAAATCAATGTTCACGCCAGTTTCGTTTCTTGGTACGGTAATTTTTCTGGCTATTTAACATATTTTGTGTTATATATATATATATATATATATATATATATATATATAGAGAGAGAGAGAGAGAGAGAGAGAGAGGGATAGAAATAGATGAGAGAGAGGGGGAGATTATGATGATGACGAACACGACCGTCATGTTTGAGGTTTTAAACATTTCCCTTCTCAGAAGCAAACATCCAGACAAACACACACACATATGATTCGGTTATTGTGGTGAAGGCCCGTGCCGAACCAACCACACCTTTCAGAAGAACTGGATACAGAGAACAGCGGCACATAGTATGCCACAAGATCTCCACAAACGACCCTCCTCGGGATGTGCGGATGTCGCAAGGGATAGCGGCTCGGATTGAGGAATCGGGGAGCTGGGTTCAAATTTCAGTTGGGTGCGTTATATTCGCTTACGCGCAAATACTCTAGCCCCCAAATTATGTGTTAAATAGTAGGGCAAACTGTGTTCTTTAGCTTTGGTTTAAATATTTGTTATTTTAAAATGCCCTGTTGTTTTTCATTTTGTTCTGTGTATCCGTTTACATATGGTCAACACGTACCCCACCCGTTGATGACTAGTCTTTCGGGAACATCACCTTAACCACTTCGGCCACAGTAACCTGATGATTAAATGGGGTGTAAATCAATAGTCATTCTGCTACTCACTTTTTGCTTTACCACCTTGACTTATCGAAAATTCTTTATTGTCGATTTACCTGCTATTTTCCCTAACAACCAGAATGTTGCGATAAAAGGTAACAGTAACAAGATAGTGTACAACTGTAGAAAGATGGTGTGTTGTAGGGAAAACTCAGTAACACAAAGATGTGCTGAGGTAAGGAACGAAAATGTTGTAAAATGTTTCATTACTTTTCATTTCTCACTTTGAATGCATAGACTCGTATTTATATTTGTTTGATTTCCGCGTCTGGGACACAAGGCCCACGCTACAACTTCCTGCTCGGTGGTGCCTTGACTTGCACGGAATTCATTTCTAGGTCATTGATCGGCGTCTATGCCTACGTTTCCAGGATCCGCAGAGGACAAACCCGGAAACATTGCCTCACACAACTTATAATTAAAAAAATACTGAAAATGCTTCATCTAAAAATTTCAAAAAATAATTTATGGCTACTCTTATAGGGTAAGCGAACGAAATATCATAGATAACCGGAGAGAAATTAGTGATAAAATGACTGCAGACTACACTTAATTATCAGTTGAATTAGGTAAGGCAACTGTCATGAAAAAAAAGAGCTATTTCTTTATAATTAAATCCCCACTCCCTCTCTCTCACACTCTCTTTCATATATATGTTAGTACACACACACACACACATGTGTGTGTGTGTGTGTGTGTGTGTGTGTGTGTGTGTGTGTGTGTGTGTGTGTGTGTGTAAAATATATAGAAAATAGGAAAGAACTCTTTAGGTAAATAATCCAAAGTTCTTTAGTATTTTTGTTATTATTTTTAAAAAATAGTGCTCGATACAAAAGTAGAGCATAAATATAATTATTTATTTAAAAATATGATTCCATCACTACATAAGAGTTCTCATGTTTCAAAACAAGAGCCTAAAACTTCAATATAATTATTTGAATTAAATTGAATTAAAATATTAAGTTTTGTTCCATCTTCAAAAAAATTTCGCTTGAAGATGGAACAGAGCATGGCACTTTAAGTCAATTTAATTCAAATAATTATATTGAAGTTTTAGGCTCTTGTTTTGAAACATGCGAACTCTTATGTAGCGATGGAATCATATCTCTAAATAAATAATTATATATATATATATATATATATATATATATAAAATAAATGCCAGTGTCAGCGTGTCACACTTTTTCAATTAAAGGGACAACTCTCAATAGCTCATCTACTTCTTCGTTAAACTTTTAAAAGGTGAGCTTAAATATCAATGGAATACTTAAATTCAGCGATCAATTTTGAGTTCTGTAGTTTATTGTTGCCTATCGCATCTACTCCTCTCTAACTATTGTGATGAAGGCTTAATCACCACAAGCCCTACGCAGGAGCTAGTTTTTTAAATGCCACCCTATCGGGCGGCTTTTAAGCTAGTATATATATATATATATATATATATACCCTTTTTCTGTCAGAGAAACGACTTGTAATTTTAAGTGTGCAATGAAACGATCAGGCAAAGCAAAGATTAGTTGCCCTACTTAAGACGAGAACATCTCTCGCTTAGAATTTTCGGCGTCTATAATTGCTAATTTTATATTCGTAGCCAAAACATAATCAAAGTAGACATTAATTTCACTTAAAAAGGAAACAAGGATATCAACTGAAGCACATGTACCCATTAAATATAACGTTTATAGTATTAATAAATAATGCCTGTTTAATGTAAAATCTATTATCGCTTAATATATATATATATATATATATATATATATATATACACACACACATACACATATATATATAGTACAGGTAATAAATCCGTTGGTATATATATATTACAAGTGGATCCTAAAGCAGGAAGAAGACCAAGCTAAATATGACAGTAACATTCATACAGAGGTAGATATACTTTTATGTTGAAAATAAATGTTCTTAGTTTTGGCCATGAAGAGCCAATAGTTCGAATGTTCAAAATGTATTGTTGCAAATGATTCTGCAAAGTTCGAAGTTATTTCGTTGTGTGTCTAAAAAGTTCGAAGCTATTTTGTTGCAAGTATGTCTACAAAGTTCAAGGTTATTTTGTTGCAAGTGTGCTTGTAAAGTTTGGAGCTATTTTGTTTCAAGTGTGTCTGCAAAGTTCGAAGCTATTTTGTTGCAAGTGATTTTGTAAAGTCCTAATTTACTGTACGCCAAAATATTTGTGTGAAGCACACGCTTTTGAAACGTATGTGACTGCTGACTCATTTCGTGCGATAGCAGTAATTTTAAAATACAGTGAACAAGGAGAGTTGAGACAAGACTTACTTCGCCACGACTTTGTATGTAGGAAAATCATCGCTGACTGACGCGTTGGTAACGGTTGTCGAGGCTAGGCCGGGCTGTGCTGGGATGGTCTGGTTCACTGACTGTTCCGTTTCGCAAATTTGTCCGCTATTCCGTTACAGATCTGTCCACTGACTGGCTTGTTTCAGATCTGGTTACTGCTTTTATGTTTTATGGTGAATCGATGATTGGCTCACGAAATCTGATATTTGGCGTAAACATACTCTGTGTCCCAAGCCTTGACCTATTTTCCAGGTCATTTAGAATTCAGTTGCGCGGATGTCGTAGAGAGCACATCGCGAGACCTGGTATGTCCCGTCAGGTTCCAGAAACCAATTAATTTTGGAGCCGTATTTTGTACAGAATTGTAAAGTTTTTTCGCATCTATTGATTTTAGTAAGATTTATCTGTCAGCGTCTCTTACGTCTCTTGCGCTTCATTTATTGGCCGAAAAATATGGGAGTTTATATCTTATAGCAGATATAAATTCTTAGAAGTCCCAACCAAAAAAACATGTTTCCTTAACAGGCAATTCTAACTTTGTCCGAGAGATGGCTCCGTTGTCAAACTGGTAGAGGCGCACTTTGGCTTGAGAAATGATTTCTTTGAGGTAAAAAAAAAAAGAGATGCAGTTTTGATTTCTGTAGGAAATAGAATTGTTCTTTAGTGGGACTTCTCAATTTAAGCCTATTGTTATTAATTTCATTGTGAAATAAATAAAAAAAAAAACAGGGATAACAACTCAAACACTAAAAATAGCTTTTATAATTAGAAGAAATACACGATAATATATATATAATACGCCATGTATTTTTTGCATTTAAGAAATGGCAGTGTTTTGTTATGAAACGGCAGAGTGTTCTAAGATATTTACGAATTCAGAAGGTGTAAGACCGTCTTAAAGTAAACAGTACAACAACCAACTGAAAAAATGTCTTCATTTTTATGGCTTCAGTAAACTATTATATTATGATTAAATAATAATAATAATAATAATAATAATAAATTGGTTAAAGTGTGTAATAAGAAAATAACTTGTGTAAATTTTTATTTTATACAATTATTATTTTAAATCCGTTACTCGTTTTATTCTAGGATAGACATGGTCGCCAAGAGAAAGACAAAAAGGGAATGGTGCCGAACCATTCGTATGTGATCACTGGAGTAGAAGAAGTTCCTTACCGACACCAGTCAGCCAGATTGGTAAGGGTCAGAAACCCTTGGGGAGACACTGAATGGCAGGGTGCTTGGAGCGATGGGTGAGTCATTATTTCGATGGAAACCATTTTAAACTTTGTTATCAAATTTTCTTTTTATTCATTTATAAACCAATTTCTTACATTTGGCCTTGTGTCGCCCTAAGCTAAATTTAGTCAATATGTTCGAGCCGAGGTGAAGGCTAGAATTTCAAATGCTGATTTTCAAGACACACTTTCTTTCCCTATGTGAATAGTTAGGACAGTTTGATTCTTATACACTCGATACTCTGCCACCATTTTGCAATGTGCCATACCAAAGTAAGTTAAAGTATTATCTATAGAATTTGTGTTGTGTTGTTGGACTTTATGACATATCAACCCTTTTTTTATTATCTTTGAATCTATAGGTAAACATTGGTCAAGCTGATATTTGAGTCCCTAGGTAAATATTAATTGAGTAAACATTTGTCGGGGTTATACTTGAGTCTATAGTCAAACAGTGGTCGAGTTGATATTTGAATCTATAGATAAATATTAGTAGGGTCTATACTTGAGTCTTTAAGCAAATATTGGTCGGAGTTATACTTGAGTTTACAGGTAAAAATTGGTCAATTTTATATTTGAGTCTATAGCCAAACATTGATCGTGCTTATACTTTAGTCTGGAGGTATTTATACCGGAGTCTGTCGGTAAACCTTAGTCAGGTTTATATTTGAGTCTGTCAATAAACATTGGTCGGGTTTATGCTTCACTCTCATGGTAAATTTTCGTTGCGTTTATATTTGGGTCTCGAGGCAAAAATTGGTCGGCTTCATACTTTAGTCTGCAAGCATCCACCAAGAACGTGACCAATTTGGATGAAATCTTATCCCATATCACGTTGAAACACCAGTTCTAATCCAATGAACAAAGTTTAGAAACGCTGGGCCTAAAGTGCCTAGATGGATGACTCCTAGCGAATACCAGGTTTAGTAAGCCCCTACCAACAAGCATTGGGCCAGCGCTATAGGGTAATGACCCATTCCTCCCCATGAATGGCAAAGAGAAAGATCTGGGGAAGGCCTACATTCAACAAAAATTTACACAGGCTGATTAAGAATTAACATCATGCTAAGGTATCCAGTCGTCATATTCTGCGATAAAAACTGACCTTATCGCTTCCCTTATCAACGGCGGCTAAAGAGCCGCGTATTAAAAATATGTGCCACCTTTCAGGCAACTATGTATATATTCTGAAATTTAACGAATTGAAATCCTTATTTGTTCTTTCCTTTGCCACCATACACTCATTATAACATACATAAAGATACTGTGGGTACCATAGACAGAACATGCGAGGATCTAGTCGGCATATGCTACGACCCCAGGACTGACCTGAATAGAAATTCTTACCTTTGAAACTAGAAGCCGGTATAAAGTTGCGAATCCGTTTTATTTGTAAATAAATAACTTAACATTGAGAAAGACTGAAAATAATGAATGATTTCTTTATTATTATTCAATTTGCTTTTGTGTGATTTTAGGAGTGAAGATTGGGATTATGTTCCTGACGTCATCAAAGAAGAATTGGAGTTAACTTCAAAAGACGACGGGGAATTCTGGATGTCGTTCGATGATTTCCGACGTCAATACTGCAATATGATTATTTGTAATTTGGCGCCAGATTTTGATCACGACGGTATCAGCGATAAAGCAGGTGAAAAACCGTCTTATATTTTCCCTGTGATGCATTTACATAATGTCAATTCAACATATTAGTTAATTTAATGCATTTCGAGTTTGATATATTTGGGAAGGATATTAAAATAATCAATAACCTGTACTTGCAGCAAACCGCCTGTAAACGGATAGAAAATGTATTCAGCAGATATACAAAAATAGAAAGGGGTGTAAGACAAGGATGTCTCTTCTCAGCGGATTTATTCAACCTATACAGCGAGGCGATTCTGAGAGAACTAGAAGTTCTACCAGGATTCATTATTGGCGGCCAAAATCTTAACATAAGATATGCAGATGACACAGTGTTGATAGCAGGCACGGAAAGAAAACCACAAAAGCTCCTACAGACGTTAGTAAAGGAAAGCAGTAAAAAGGTTTAAACATCAGCTGCAAGAAGACAGAATGTATAGTTGTTAGCAAAAGGATAAGCCCAAAGTGCGAATTGTAAATCGGAGATACCAAAATCAAACAAGTGTTTAATTATCTGGAAAGTGTTCTAGCAGAGTATGGAATTTGTGAAGCTGAAATCCGAAGGTGCCTTGGGATAGATACATTCCAAAAGCTAAGCAGAGTACTAAGAAACAGAAAAATTTTGCTAGAAACAAATACTAAACTGTTACGTGATATCTGTTCTCCTGTATGGTAGTGCGTTCTGGACAATCTCCTCAAAGATGAAGAAACTTGAAGCAACAGAAATATGAATCTAAAGAAGGATGCTGAAGATACCATGGACCGAACATGAAGTTTTAGAGAAAATAGAAATAAAAAGGAAACTTATACTTAACATCAGGAAGAGACAGTTGAGGTTTCTAAGTTACATAATGAGAAAGCGGGGAAAGTATGATCCTCACAGGACATATTGAATGCAAAAGAGACAGAGAAAAACAGCGTATGATACTTATTGAGTTTGAATAAATAGATGGCGGAACAGGGTTCAGGAGAAATAACAGAAAGAGAAACTCATTACGAGTTACAAGGGACGGGAAGTTGTAGAGAGCCATGATCACCTACGTCCTGAGGGTACACGGCACATAAAGAAGAATATTTCGGGTTCAATTCCTGCTCGATTCTACTTCTTTTCTGAATAAATTGGCTCAGTATTTCTGCTACTGCTACTTCCTTGTTACCTTCATTTGGATAGCTCGTTCATGTTATGATATTGAGCCAGACTAAGCTATGCTTTGTAAATATATACACACAATAATAATTTCTTACTTTTTCCACATTTTTAAAATTCCTTCCGCATTGTTTATTAAAAACTTGTTTCAGAATGCCAAATAATGACTCGCGATGAATGGCAACAAGACTTCAACGCCGGCGGTTGGCTGGAATGTGATAGTTTCTATAAGAATCCACAATATTTGATTTCACTTCACCCTGACGGTAAGTGTTGCGCATAATGAAACCGAAAGCGAACTCACTCTTGTAAGAGAACATAACGTTCAGATCCATTCATCATTGTAAATCGATCAGACTATCGTCAGTACACTATAGGCCAACGGTTTGGGGCCAGCCTCGAAGAATCACCTAAAGGTTAAAGGTTTGCCTTTTTCAAAACTAATTTACTAGCAAACATTGGGACAAAGGAACATTCTCTTCCTGATGGATGTTATCATAGATTCAATTGATAATAATATTAACGAATTTAATCCATTACTGTATAAAGTTTCCTTGAAATTCCAGTTCATTTTGTCTAATCTAATTTACTTTAATGGTAATCTTAGGGAAAGCGGATTATAAATTCTAGGTTTAAAAGATTGAGCACCGTGCACTAATAGGTTAAATAGTTTCATCATACTAGTTTAAAGGATGTTTTAGTTAATTAAGCCAAAGAAATCATGAAACATACTAATTATTAAATCCAGTGGATGGCCTCAAACTTTTCGCCTATAATGTATATACAGATTTATAGATACGAGAGATTAAATCCTGAAATTAGATCAGATTGCAGATTAGACCAGTTTCAGATCTTACCAAAGATCAATTCTAAAGTAAAGGGAGTAAATTATTACATTTTCTAGTTTAGTAATGTGTTAACTAATATTTAAAAAAAGTCTTTACCCACACTGCCTAAGTGACAAACTAAGATTAAAAATAGTATTCGAATTTCTAAGATGAAGTCTCATTAGTTATTATAAATATTCTTCTTTCATCCTATATCTGTCAATTTTTATTTTCACTAGTAGTATTAGATGTAATAGCATTCGAATTTCTCAGCTGAAACATGTTGGTCATTAACGATTTTTCATTTTTGTTTCTTTAATCTTTCTTCTTTTGTTTTTATCGCATCTCCCAAATTCTAAACTCTTAAGTAATGTATAAAGAGTTCAAATTCCAGTCGAGATAGTTACATTCACTTACGTTCAACTACCCTTTGGGGGAGGTATAAATCCGTCGCTCAGGTTAAGGCGTACCTGGCTTAACGGTAGCTCCCTCTAACCTGAAGGACTCAAGTTCAAATCCTGCCGAAGAGCGCAAATTTTTCTTTCATAAGATTTCTCGAAATTCAGGCCCGTAAACAAAAATAAATATACTGTTTAATAAATAAACGGAGAGCCTACTCAAATACGAGTAGCCAATAAAAATAACGTTTAAAGCGATAAAAAAGAAAACTGTCGAATTAATAAAAATCCATTCTAAAAAAATTTCGTTGTTTACGTTTGGATACGAAACTGCAGATATGAAAAACTACTAGATATCTATGAGAAGAGAAATTTCGCTCAAGTCACAAAATTTGGCTCCTCCTTGCCGACTGCTTTTTTGTGGTCAAGTGAATAAAAATCTGTCGGACTTCCTATAAGTCAAAAAGTGAGTAATTTTTTTTTTTTTTTTTTTGGGGGGTACACCTTTTCGGAAGCAGTATATATATTTTGGTGGATACTGTATATATATATATATATATATATATATGTGTGTGTGTGTGTGTGTGTGTGTGTGTGAGTGTGTGTGTTCTAAAATTTACTAATTTTTTTTTTTGAACTTATAGGAATTTTATAGGAAAATTGGGGATACTATATATATATATATATATATATATATATATATATATATATATATACAAGTGCACGCACACGCGCGCACACACACACACACACACACACACACACACACAAACACACATATATATATATATATATATATATATATATAAGGGACATTGAAATCAACACCCAGAGGCAAATAGTCTGTTTCATGCTAAACACAATCATCAGCCATGCGCATTGTGTTTTTTTATTTCCGAGATATTTTTGGTATGATTTGTTTTGTTTTTTTCTCTCCCAGATATATTTAGAAAATGTAATATACCAAACCACTGTTAAATCAGCAGATAACGAAAAAATATACAAAGGAGTAACAGAAGGACCCTGGAAATAAAGAAACTACGCAGACAAAAATATCCTTTAAAAATAGTAAATACACAAACAGTACAAAGCTTTGTAAACATAACTGGAACAGAGAAAAAAATCACATTAAAAATCAGCCTACAATAATCAATCAAAAAACTGTAAACTCTGCCTGGAGCAAAAATAACTATAATTACCTTCTCAGATCAAAATAAACTACTAAATAAACGATCAGAACTAATCTCAAAATGCAGACACGAAAAAAAAATTACCTCATTACTGAAAAATCGAAATTTGAAAGCGAAGACGAATAAACGAAAATACACAAAATAAATAAGCAAAAACAAGTAAGATAAATCAATCCAAACAAATAAATAAATAAACTAAGTAAATAATAAACAAATTAACAAACCGCGTATGCATAGATAAACACAAGAAAATGTAATAATAACAACCAACAATAAAATAATCAATAATAAATAAAAATGTTAACGAACAACGCTATAAATAGCCAAAAAACGGCATTTGGATCCACAATTATTCCCGCCAAATAACCCCTAGAATAATTCGAAAAACAACCGTTATTGCCCACTAAAATAACATTTAGAATAATACAATAAACTACCGGCAATGTAATACAATAGACTACCCACAATGCACCACTAACCTGAATATATAAAAAGTCGAGCAAAAACACAACGTGCGTTGCCTGACGATTGTCATCCCAGTCCAGTGATAGGTTATCGTTGGACGTTTTCTTTTCGTTTAATTCTCAGAATTGAATTTACCTAAGGTATGGATGGTCATCGGCTCCTTTATTTTTGGCTTCTATTATTTTCGGTTTATTCCCCTCCCCATATAGTTGACAGGGATTGAAGTTCTCGGGTGAATATGGGATGTCAGGATTTTTCGTCCAGTTAACTATTATCTCTGCTATTATTAAACTGTGGGGATTTGCCTTACTAACATCTGTTTTGTTTAGTTGTGTAAATATTGTTACATCATGAACATTGAGGATCTTATCAACCCATCCCTCCACAAAGACTGTACATATGGGATTAAGTAAAGATCCTTAGAGCAAATCAGGCATTATGGTGTTTATGTAAGGCAGTGTTCCGTAGATGAGATGTTT